CTGAGGCAGATGCCATTAAGGGCGATCAGGCCGGCATGGGAGAGCAGTTGGGGGTGAGATCAGGCCAGCAGGAGAGGGCAGTTGGGAGCAACAGGGTGGCGGGGGAGGGTTGTTGGGGGCGAGATCAGGCCAGCAGGGGGGGCAGTTAGGGTCAATCAGGCTGGCAGGGGAGGGCTGTTGGGGCAAGATCAGGTCAGCAGGGGAGGACCATTGGGGGAGAGATCAGGCCGGCAGGGGAGGGCCATTGGGGGCGAGATCAGGCCAGCGGGAGGGCACTTGGGAGCAACCAGGGCGGCAGGGGAGGGTAGTTGGGGGCAAGATCAGGCCAGCAGGGGGGACAGTTGGGGGTGATCCGGCCAGCAGGGGAGCAGTTAGGCATCAATCAGGCTGGCAGGGAAGTGGTTAGGGGCAATCAGGCAGGCAGGCAGGCAAGTGGTTGGGAGCCAACAGTCCCGGATTGTGAGAGGGATGTCCGACTGCCGGTTTAGGCCCCACCTCACATGGATCAGGCCTAAACTGGCAGTCGGACATCCCCCGAGGGGTCCCAGATTGGAGAGGGTGCAGGCTGGGCTGAGGGACACACCCCCCCCAATGCACAAATTTTGTGCACCAGGCCTCTAGTGAAGAATAAAGAGAATAATGGATGAAGGTGCTCTCGCTTCATGTAGGAAACTAAAAGGGGCAAGGAAACAGATTTGCTTGTGGAATGATGCTCTGCACAGGCAGGGCAAGCAAATGGCAATTTCGTTTTATTTATTTACTTAAATTTATTTTTCAGTCACAGTTTAAATTTGATATTACTTTGTGTTAGTTTCAGGTGTACAAGCATAATGGTTAGACTTTATAAAGTGGTCCCCCTGATATTTCAAGTACCCACCTGGCACCATACATAGTTATTACAGTATTATTGACTATATTCCCTATGCTGTACTTTACATCCCCGGAACTATTTTGTGACGACCAATGTGTAGTTCTTAATCCCTTTATCACCCAGCCCCTCAAACCCCCTTCCCTCTGGCAATTCTTTTAGAGAAGTGCACAGAACCCTAATATTTTAGTACAGTTGTGTCCCCTTATCTGCAGGGTATATATGTCCCAAGACCCCCAGTGGATGCCTGAAACTGAACCTTATGTGTACTATGTGTGTGGACCCTTTAAGTATTTCTGGGGCCAGGACTACATTTGCAAAATGGCAGGACTCTGCCATGGATAGCTTGAGCACCTTTTTGCTAATTGATTCAGGCTGCACCTAATCAACTTAGCTAAGAACTTGAATTTCAAAATGGTCAAATAGATCTTTATTAGAGCTTTTATAGTTCACATCCCAGGTGATGGGCCACTGTGACACAAACCTCCATTTCCTCCTCTGTGCAATGGGTACACATCCTCAAGGTGGTAGAAGAAGATGCCACTCTGTTGTTAATGTGGAGAGGTCCTTGAGGAGAGGGCCTAGGAAGCCGGACCTGGGTAATTCTCCTTTGTGGGTGTGCCCCAGAAACTTCTGCTCCTGCCTTGCTCACTGTGAGGCTCTGGGTGATTCACCAGGTAAATCTGGGAGCAGCACCGAGGGTCCAGCCCATCTTCCCAGACACGCAAGATCCCAGGTACCGTTCGTTCTTCAAGTATTGGTGTCTTCAGCCAAAGTTCCTGGGCTCTGGCCGCAAACCGTGGGAGAGTGGAGCACCCACTGGCTCCTCTCTGTGGGGCATTGTTAGGGCATTAGTCACCTAGGGAAGCCCTCCAGCATTTGTTTAGTTAATGTAGCAACAAGAAACGTTCCATGCTGGCAACTTGGGTATTTCAAACTGTCACCTCCAGAAAGCCTCATGGAGCCATTGCCCTTTACTCAAAAGGACAGTGGCCCTGAAAGCATAATGCCGGAACGTGGGCGGCGTGCCTGGCTCTGCTGCTTTGTATAAGCACAGGAAAAGATACTCTCTATTTCAAAAGCCCTCCCGAAGTTATTTGGGCTCAGGGTGTCACTCCCTGGTCACACCTAGATTCTTGACTGATTTATTAAGTTCTCTGGGGAAAGGTTTTTCTCTCTTATTTGCTTGGCTCCTGTTCAGAGATGGTTACAAAAAGTGTGTGAAGACCTGGAGGCTCCAGTCACATGTGGCCCCCAGAGCTGCTTCAGCAGTTTCACGGAGCCCGAGGAGCGGGGCTGGGCTGGGGTGAGCCATTTACCTAAAGGTTTGGACACATGGGCAAGTTGAGGGCAATGTTGAACATTCCCAGAGATCAGGCAACAGGGAGTGTTGGGGACTGTGGCGAGCTGGAGAATGCTTGCCCCTTCGAGAGCAGCCCATGCCCCTCCAGCTAACGCTGCCTTGTGGGAATAAGTGCCCAGCTCCGGCAGAGCTTTTGATTTGTCACGCCCAGACAGCATGGCTCAGTGGTTGAGCATCAACCTATGAACCAGCAGGTCGAAATTCAATTCCTGATCAGGGCATATGCCTGGGTTGAAGGCTCCATCCCCAGTAAGGGGCGTGCAGGAGGCAGTCGGTCAATGATTCTCTCTCATTATTGATGTTTCTCTCTTTCCCTCTCTCTTCTCTCTGAAATCAATAAAAAAATATTTTTTTAAAAAAGGAAGGGTGTTCTAGCACATGTTACAACATGGACAACCTTGAGGACATTATGCTATGAGAAATAAGCCGGTCACAGAAAGACAGACACTGTATGATTCAACTTATGTGAGGTACTGTACTTAGATTTGTCTAATTCTTAGAAATTCTACAGAAAGTATAGTGGTTGCCAGGCACTGGGGGAGCTAGTGTTTATCGGGGGAAAGAGTTTCAGTTTGACAAGATGAAGAGCTCTGGAGATGGCTGGTCATGATGGTTGCACAACATCGTGAGTGTATTTAATACCATTGAACTATATACTTAAAATGGTTAAGATGTAAATTTTATGTATATTATACAACATTTAAAAAATTGGAAAAAAATTTAAGTATAGTGCAGGCTGAACAAAACTTGTCTTTGGGCTCAGCCGAGCCGCAGGCTGCTCGCGTGTCCCCTCTGCTGTACATGATCCTGCACAGCAGCCCGCCCACTGGATCCACTTCCCTGCCCAGCCAGCTCTGCACAGTCCCAGGGGCTGGGCACACTGGGTTTGAATCTGGCTCTGTTTCTTACCAGTCACGAGATGTCAGATACTTCTATGGGCAGGTTGGGGTTATAAAAGCTTTGTGTGCTCGTGTTTGCTTCTTACTGAAGGTTTCTGGAGGCAGTGACCTCAGATGCCTCAGCCCAAATGCCCTGGATTCACTGGTCCAGGTGTGACATTTGTTGCTGATTGGAATACGCCCTGAAGGAAACTAAAGTTAGCTCAGTTCCTCACCGTAGGAACTGGTTACCAACACACTGATTTGAAACGGTTTTTTAGAATTACAGACTCTCTTTGAGCCTGTGCTTAACAATTTAAAAGGAGGGCAGCATAATCTCCAAGGTAGGCTGAAGGCAGATGTTCAATGGGGCCAAATGCAGCATTGTGAAAAAAAAAAAAGAGGAGGGAGAGGATGTGGTAGCAAAACAATTTTTAATTAATTTCCCTTCACAGTTTTCTTTTATTAATTTTTTTTTTAATTTTAGGGAGTGAGGAAGGGAAAGGAATAAAGGGACAGAAACATCGATGAGAGAGAGACATCAATTGGCTGCCTCCTGCAGGCCCCCTACTGGGGATCAAGGCCGAAATCCAGGCATGTGCCCTGACTGGGAATCGAACCTAGGACCTTTTGGTCCATGGGATGACGTTCAATCCACTAAGCCACACCCACCAGGCACAGTGTTGTTACAGAATTTAAAATTTTCCTCATTTCCTGACGGTTTCCAGCTGACTTTCTTTTTCTGACCGTGTAAAATTTAGTAAAAGCAAATTAGAACCTTTTAGGTAAAAGTAAATTTTTGAGTTATATTCTTAAAATGTCCATCTCTTCTTGGACAGGCATTGGGGATTTGAAACAAGTCAGTGTGCAGGGTCCCAGTCCTCAAGAAGATTACAGTCTAGAGCAGTGGTTCTCAACCTTGGCTCACGAGCCACATGCAGCAATTTGGCCCCTTGAGTGTGGCTCTTCCACAAAATACCACGTGTGGGCGTGCACGTACAGTGTGATTGAAACTTCATGGCCCACGCGCAGAAGTCGGTATTTTGTGGAAGAGCTGGTATTTTATGGAAGAGCCACACTCAAGGGGCCAAAGAGTCGCATGTGGCTCGTGAGCCGCGGTTTACCGAACCGCAGTTTGCCGACCACTGGTCTTGAGGAAAGACGGAAAATGAGATGTAATTGTTTTAGCAAGAGGGTGTGATGAGGGCTACTCAGGATGGGTAAGTGACCTAGCTGGAGGAGAGAGGTCAGGAAAAGTGTCTGCTGGAGAGGTTGCCAGAGCTAACTTAGTCCGGAGAGTCAGTGGGAGTGGGGAGGGGAGAAGTGCACAGGGAAGAAACTCGTGCCTGCGGTGTAAGGCCCCAAACCAGGGCCCAATATTAGGGGCTGCTTTGACTTCTGGTGAAAACTGGGGAAGCCTCAGATGCCCTAACCACACGTCCCCCTCCACACTGCTCCCAGGTCCCCTTGCAAAACAACTCTCCTTGTCAAGGGGACCAGTCACAGTTCCTACTTAATCTCTGAGCAACGGGTTTCAGTTTCCTGTCAGCCCCTGGAATTGGTCAAACAAGCCAACCGCATTCACCCCAACTTTTTGATGCTGCAAAGTCAACCTCCTCGGGAAATAGGTTGTTCACTCTTTCCCAGTGCAGCCCTGTGTGGCCCTGCAGAGCGTTGGTGTCCTCCTCGCTGGCCTGTCAGTGTATGTGACCAATAAACTTATCAATCTCACCTGTCCAGTGCCCTGTGTGTACTTGGCCATGCCCATCACTGCTGCTGGAGATTTGCCCAAATAGGGGGGTCTCTCCCCTCCTCGGCTCTTGTCACATTCATGTGAAAGAATTCAGATGAGTGGCAGAAAGCAGTGTTGAAGCAAAGCAGGCAAATTTAGTAAGGAAGCAAAGCAACTGAATTTATTAAGAATACAGTTGGCATAAAGCACAAGCAGGCACCTCAGCTTGTCGGCGGCGGTTCAAGGGTTTTATACTTTCCCCCACTGGATATCTTGGGCAACAGACTAGATTTCAAAGTCCCCCTTTTACATTGTTGTAGTTTTTCCCAGGATTTATGAGACTATCTGGTGATTTTATTGACTGCTGACTTCTTTGTTCAGGAGTGAGATAAACTCCCCTCTCCACCCCTCCCCTTCCTCCTACCCTAGCAGCTATCTATCCTGCTGACAGAACCAGTGGGCAGAATCCCTCCCCCAGCATCGGGACGACAGGAAGTGATGAAAACAATGCGCGTTGGGATGTGCACGGAGAGTCACAAATCTACGTTGCTAGAGGATCTGGGGCGGCCAGAGCAATGGGGTGGCTGCTAAGGAAGCAGGCCAAGACCAGCTCATGAAAGTCCTCGTATCTTCAGGAGCCTCTGGAGGGTGTTGAACAAGGATGAGAACTGCCCACATCTGAGTGTTTGTTGTTGTTTTCTTTTTAAATATTTTTATTGATCAGAGAGGAAGAGAGAGGGAGAGAGAGAGAGAGAGAGAGAAACATCAGTGATGAGAGAATCATTGATTGGCTGCATCCTGCAACCTGGGCATGTGCTCTGACTGGGAATCGAACTGACCTCCCAGTTCATAGGTCTACACTCAACAACTGAGCCATTCCGGCCGGGCTGAGTTTTAATTAGTTGACTCTGGCCAATGTGTGGGCTGGGTTTGAAGGGGATGAGATTAGAGGCAGCAAGTCTGATTAGAGAGCTACTGCAGACTTCCAGGTATGAGCATCTCAATTAGGACCGGGAGTGTGGGATGGAGAGGAAAAGAGCTTCTCAGAAAGTGTTTATGACAGAAAATGTAGTCCATTTGGCCCCATGTAATCAAAAGGCAGCAAATATGTACAAAACCCATTAGTGAATGAAGGGATATTAATCAATCTCTTGATGGGTCCCGGAAGGACTGCAGGGTGAGGCTGTGCAGGGTGATACTCCCCAAGGGCAGACAGCCCGAAAATGAGTGAAGGCTGTGGGCCCACCTAGCACTCCAAAGAGATCCGAGACAAAGATACGCCACCCACCCCCCACCCCAGGCAGTTTACAACTTCTATTTGTAAACCTGAAAGATGACTGTGATCACATGCAAACTGCTGATTCAGGCTGGGCGTACTGAGTTTTGAAAAGGCAAAATGCCATCTCTCTGTTTTCTCACATGAGATAAGAGTTGGCCTTTTTAGAACAAAAAAAACCCCAATACTCAACAACTTTCATTTCTTCCCTTTGGGCAAGATTAACCTTCAAACATGTTGACTAAAGTGTGAATCAACCAACGGGTTCAAATTTAGGATTTTCCTTTAGCAAGGCTAGGGAGTGTTACCAGGTCCCTCTAGACTGTGATTTCAAGAGAAAATTTAGAAGGATGAGAAACTCAATGAATGAAACACTACAAAACTTTGTGTCAGTGGTTCTCAGCCTTGCCTCATAAACACCTGGGGAGCTTTTAAAAATTCTTGAACCCAACTCCATACCCAGAGGTTGGGATACAGTTAGAGGGGCGAGGCCCCAGCAGCTGCATTTGTTATCTTCTTCAGAAGAGCTGTAGGGGAGGTGCCTGCAAGGTCCTTAGCTCAGGCACTGATGGAAGAGAAAAGCATATTGTGAAACCAGCAAGGGATATTTTACATTGAAGGACTGTTAAAATCACGAAGTTTGCCCTAGCTGGTTTGGCCCAGCGAATAGAGCGTCAGTCTTCGGACCGAAGGGTCCCGGGTTCAATTCCGGTCGGTCAAGAGCACATGCTGGGTTGTGGGTTCGATCCCCAGTGTGGGACATGCAGGAGGCAGCCAATCAGTGATTCTCTCTTTTCATTGATGTTTCTACTTCTCTCTCCCTCTCCCTTCCTCTCTGAAATTAATAAAAATATATTTTAAAAAAAAGATTTAACAAATTTCCTCCGTGATGTTGGCTTTGACTACCCCACAGACCCCGTGAGCAACTAAGATTTTGTGGCCTTCCAGAGAATAGCAATTGACCAGGTTGGGTGGCCAAGTTGCTTAGAGTATCATCTTGTGCACCAAAGGGTTGCAGGTTCGATTCCTGGTCAGGGCACATACCTAGGTTGTAAATTCAATCCTCAGTTGGGGTGTGTGTGTATGTGTGTGTGTATGTGTGTGTGTATGTGTGTGTGTGTGTGTGTGTGTGCAGAAGGCTCTCTCTCTTTCTCTCTCCCTCTTTTCCTCTCTCTCTAAAGTCAATAAAAACATATCCTCACGTGAGGATTAAAAAAACAAGCATTCTCAAGCGCAAGAAGCTTTTGTTTGCGCCCCTTCCCCCTTGGATGATCCAGACACACTGTGGGAATTCTGAAACCCACCTAACCACCTGGAAGCCTCAGAATTGCTCAACTGTTGAGGTCAAATTCTCCCATGGTGGAAATGGACAAACAATGTGGCTTCCTCAGCCCAAATTTACTTACCTTGTCCTCCACTTCCCAAGACACGGGAAATATGCACTACAGTGGTATGAGGACCCTCAGAAGTAGATTGCTGGAAACAGGAATGATCACACAGGGACACACCAGTGCCTCTGGAGAGAACCAGGTTAAAGACGGTTGTAAGGAAAAATGCTTCGTTATAACACACCATCCTACATATTGACTGCCATTCTTAATTCTTTTATCCTTCTACTAGAGGCCCGGTGCACGAATTCATGCACAGGTGGGGTCCCTCGGCCTAGCCTGCGGGGATGGGGCCGAAACCCGCTCTCCGACATCCCCCGAGGGGTCCCGGATTGGGAGAGGGCAGTTTTTGGGTGATGCACCCAGGAATTGGGCTCCCTCCTTTCTGGTTCCAGGTGCGTCACCTGAGAACCACAGCTGCCAAGTCACTGCAGCTCAGCAGCTCCTGTGTTGAGCGTCTGCCCCCTGGTGGTCAATGTGCATCATAGCTAATGGTCAGATGGTCTAACGGTCAGACGGTCACTTAGGCTTTTATATATATAGATGTCCTCATAAAAACCCCCATTGTGATCTCCTTTAGAAAGCTGCTGGTTATAATGAAACCAGGCAGAGACAAAGTCCGCTAGAGCAGATTGCACTAAAAACAATCTGCTGTAATTATTGTGGCTCCATAATCATCTTCTTCCAAGAAGCTGAGCTGATAATCATTTGCAGACATGACCTCATTTATCTATATGACAAACCTACCCATAGGTGGGGGTATTATCATCCCATTACGCCTTTTGCACTTAGGACTGTCTCAAGATCACCTGGGAAGTTGGCCGTAAAGATGAGACTGGAAACTGTGTGCTGCAATTTTCGCTTTCGTTCTGGGCCTGTCAGAGCTTGTTGCCACGAGCGGCAAGGAGCAGGAGACATGGGGAAAATGCGTATGCATGTTGCCGTCCAAATGTGAAAACAGCAATATCCACGCCTGGGTGCTCAAACACCCTCCAAAAAAGGAAACGGAAAAGATTCTAACACGTCACTGAAAGAAACCGTAGAATATCTCTGACTAACACACATGCCAAAAGCACGTGGGTCTCCCAAGTGTTACACTGTGAAAATAAAAGGGGGGAAAGATAGATGAATTAAAAAAAAATCATGAAATCCAGAAACATTCCTGTTAACAAAACAGTGCAGAAATGGAAGAAAGTTTCCTTCTGGAGCCTCCACTGCCAGAGGTGCTACAATACTCACGCATGAGAGGGACTCAAAGCCAGGGAAGAAATACATAGAAATGATTTCCTTTTCAGGACATCTAATTTTAATCTCCATTTCACTGCAATCTTCTTCCTATTTGGTGTATCCTTCAGTGACAACCAAGAATCTGAAGAGCCTCCGGGTCGTCTCAGTTCATGCATAAACCCTCAACACATGCGATGTACTCATGACCCTATGTGGTGGACATAAGTAACTACCTTGAGCTGAAAATACCCTGGCCTATTGTTAATTTGAAGCTATTTCCTAAATCAGAAAAGTTAGTTAACTAGAACTATAATAGAACACGGTTTTAAAATAAAATTGGAAGCATCTCGAATGCATCAAGAGTTTGGTTTCCACCTGGCCCAGTGATGGCGAAGCTGTCCTAACCCAGCTTCAAGACTTCAGGGCGTCTTGTGGAGTAAGATGGAGCACTAGGCCTGGCTGGGGGGACAGGCACTGCGCATGGCCTGGGTGACCTTGCACAAACCACCGTTCCTAAGCCTCGAATTTTCATTGTAAAGGAAAAGGGCCAAAGCAGAAGACCCCAGAGGCCTCTTCCTTGGGCTCACGCCTGCTTATACATGAATTTGCTGGATTAAACTGTACACTTTGGGGGCAGTTTGTGTCCCCCTTTGTGATATGTACCTCAGCAGAGCCAGAGAATTGTCTGATTGAACTTTGTGCACCAGAAGAATGTTAAAGACCTTTCAACACTCACTACATTTACATGAATATTTCTTTACTTCATCATTTCCCCAATGAGACTGTGAGCGTCTTGGGTGCAGGAGCAGGGTCCCTCCCCTTTGAATCTCAGCAGCCTGGCTAAGCAGGACACAGTCCGCACCCAATCCATGGCTGTGAGCTGTCCATAGGTTAGAGCATGCTATTGAACTAATATAAATATATAACTAATATGTCAAACTACTATAAATGTAATATAAATGAATATAATGTGGGTGATATATTTATTTTTTAAATTAACTTACGTAAAAATTTATAATTTAAGATGACCTTTGTGTTTCTTTCAAATAAGTTCTTTAAAATCTTGTTTCTAGGCAAAAAGAAAATGAATTTGATATCAATGAATTTAAACAGGCAAGATAACAGGAGCCATTCATATTTTATTTTTTAGTAGAATTTTGAACTCCAAGGAATTAAAAATATATCATATAAACAAGACTGAATTAGCTTTTGTAACAATTTTGAGCAATAAATTGAAGAAAGATAGAAAAGGTAACAACTTAATACCTGACCCCTTGTTGGAGCTCATAAATCAATTCCATAACTCTAAATTTTCAATTCAGTGATTTTTTTCCTGGTGTCTGTCTTTCTTAAAGATAATCACTTAATAGTCAACAGCACACATTCTTTTTTTTTTAATTTTTATTTTTATTTTTTATTGCTTAAAGCATTACAAAGGGTATTACATATGTGTCCTTCCCCCTCCCCCCCCGCCCTTGACAATACCCCGGCTTCCCCTACCCCCCAGTGTCTTATGTCCATTGGTTATGCTCATATTCATTCTTTTATTTCATTTTGTAAAGCCACAGTCCAACAGAATCCCAGAATGTCAAGTGTACAAAACAGGAAACTTTCTGGTGAAAGTTCTGATTTTTAATAATCTGAGTTTTGCCTGGCTGGTGTGGTTCAGTGGTTGGGCATAGACCTATGAACCAGGAGGTCACAGTTCAATTCCTGGTCAGGGCAAATGCCTGGGTTTTGGGCTCAATCCCCAGTAGGGGGCATGTGGGAGGCAGCCACTCAATGATTCTCTCTCATCATTGATGTTTGTATCTCTCTCCCTCTTCCTTCCTCTCTCTGAAATCAATACAAATATATATATTTTTAAAATCTGAGTTTTCTAGTTAGCTAAACAACCAATGACCTGCCTGGGCAACAACAGTGTCCTCTGTTCCATTCCTAAAGCGCATCAAAAGTCTCCCAACAGTCCCCGGAGTCACCTGCCTATCTCATCATTCTTATCTTTCCATTTCAAGGTTTCAACCAAGTCTTGCGGATTCGGAGTATCAAGTTCTGAGGACATAAGGAGATACAATGACACCAAAGGCAGTGAGGAGCTGCTGGAGGTTTACAAGTAGTTCAGGTGAGTGGTCAGATCTCTGTGAGACAACAGGAGCCCAGAAAATTGAAAGGTGAGCAGCCTTCTGAAGGCCAGGACACTGGCTAAGAAACTCTTGCCTTACTCCAGGGAGAACGGATAAGGGACCAAAGCTACTTCCAACTCTGAGGCAGTGGAACACAGAGGAGCTGACAGGTTTAAGAATCTAGAGCAGGCAATGGGTGCCTGATAAATGATTTGATGTTGGGGTGAAGGGAAAGGGAGATGTTGTGGAAGACTCTAAAAAAGGTGATTAATTATTTGTGAAACTAAGGGGAGAGTAATGAAATCAATGGATATCAAGGGACTCAGGAGAAAAAAGAAGATTAGGAAGGAAAAGAATGGGGTAAATTGCAGACTTGCTGAACTTGAGATACTTGATGGTCAAGCGAAGACATCTACCTGGCATTGGAGATGAGGTCTGCAGTTCCAGAAACTGATCTGGGACAGATCTTATATTCTCCCACACATACAAACAGAGTTTGGTTTTGGTTCCAGAGATTGCAGAGCCATTGTAATTCCAAAGTGATAGAACAATACTCATTCAGCAGAGGTGATAAAAGCATGAAAGCTAATCTGGCAGCTGAAAAAGATGGCCCAATGCCAGACCGAACTGGGATGTCTTCTGTGTTTTGTTTTGTTTGGTTTTTGAAGGTGTGTGTGTGCAAATTTATTTGCTTGTTGTTTGTTGTGGTCATCTAGACATTAGCTAACTGCCTTCTCCCAAAAATGTACTTAATTGCTAGGATATGGTAAAGACTTTCTAATCACTGGCATGACATTTTGTGTTTGCCTCCAGGTGAGATGAGTCGCCACTCGGGGGAAAGGTAGAAATAAGGCAATTACAAAATTAAGTTATGAAATATGTTGCTCTTCTTCTCTCTTCCAGGACTTGATTAGAACTAGCAGGAGGCCTGTTTGATATCACTGTGCAGGGTGTGCACTGAACAAAACGAGGGAGTACAATTCATATATTAAACCTTGTAGAAATGAATATCTTTTAGGACAAATTTCAGGAAGATGGAAGTAAAATGCCTTGAGGAAGAGGCATTTTTCTAATTTGCACAAAGATGCTGTCTGGACTAATAGAAGCTTTCCTTTCCTGCTGAAGATAGTTGGTTCACTGGTGAGAAATGTAAAAGCAGTAACAATAATGTATATATTCATTTCACCCAAACATTAGAAGACTGAAAGGAAACACAATCCATTCATTCGCTAGTTGCTAGAATTATACTAGTGATCAACCCGGAATCCAGTTTTTAGCCAGAACAAACATAATTTATGATATAATCAGGCTTAAACTCTTGAGTAGTTAAATGCAATGTTCTTTTACCAAAAGGAAATGTGTAGGATCTCTAGCTTCTACTTACATCTTGTGGAAGTGGAGAAGGAGACCAGAAGACATCTTGACTTAAGGTGTTTTTCTAGGATTCTAGTATCAATTCCTTAAGTAGAAGATGTTTTCTCACATGAACACCCATCTTAGTCCATTTGGGCTGCTATAACAAAAATACCTTAGACTGGGTGGTTTAAACAACAACTATTTATTTCTCAGAGTCCTGGAGGTTGGGAAGTCCGACCAAGATCAAGATGCTGGCAGATTCTGTGTCTGGTGAAGGCCCACTTGGCCATCTTCCTGCGCCCTCACAGGGTGGAAAAGGTAAAGGACTTCTCTGGATCTTTTTTATGAGCACACTAATCCCATTTATGAGGGCTCTGCCCTCAAGACCCAATCACTTCCCAAAGGCCCCACCTCCAAATACTGGGGATTAGGTTTCAACATATGAATTTTGGGGGAACAAAAGTATTCAGTCGATAGCAACATATCATCAAGAACACCACAAATTTATATATATATATAAATAAAATATAATTTATATATATATAGAAATAAAATATATAAAAAATATATTTTGCCCTAGCTGGTTTGACTCAGTGGATAGAGTGTCAGCCTGCGGACCAAAGGGTCCCAGGTTCAATTCTGGTCAAGGGCATGTACCTCAGTTATAGGCTCCTCCTCAGCTGGGGCCCCGGTCAGGGCTTGTGCAGAAGGAAACCTATTGATGTGTTTCTCTCACATCGCTATTTCTGTCTTCCCCTCTCTCTTCTACTCTCTCTAAAAATCAATGGAAAAATATCCTTGGGTGAGGATTAAAAAAGAAAAATAATAAATAAAAAAATAAAACAAAGGCAATAAGTACCCCAAACTCACTACTTTCATATATATATATATATATATATATATATATATATATATATATATAATCTCCTATCTAATAAAAGACAAAAAGGGTAATTGACTGTACCTTCTCTATGCTTCCCATTGGCTAATCAGGGCGATATGCAAATTAACCACCAACAAAGATGGCGGCCAGCAGCCACGCAGCTGAAGCGAGCAGGAGGCTTATTTGCTCCAGTGATGGAGGAAGCCAAGGTTCCCCGCCTGCCGCGGCCTGGCTCTGAGCTCCGAAAGCAACAAAGTTTCAATTATAGAAGCTAAACAAACCCCAGATACCTGCTTTCAGCAGGCCGTGGCCTCAGAGCTGGAGCCGGCTCTCAGCTCCAGTGACAGCAACAAAGTTTCAATTACAGAAGGTAAATAAATCCCAGAATAAAAAATTAAAAAAAAAAGGAGAGGCTGGGAGCTTCAGTCACCGGCCAGCCTGAAAACGGCCCTCAGCCCCTCACCCAGACTGGCCAGGCACCCCAGTGGGGACCCCCACCCTAAAGGGGGTGTGACCAGCTGCAAACACCCATCAGCCCCTCACCCAGGCTGGCCAGGCACCCAAGCGGGACCCCCACCCTGATCCGGGACACCCTTCAGGGCAAACCAGCCGGCCCCCACCGTGCACCAGGCCTCTATCCTATATAGTAAAAGGGTAATATGCAAACTGACCCTAACAGCAGAAAGACTGGGAATGACTGGTCACTATGACACACACTGACCACCAGGGGGCAGACGCTCAATGCAGGAGCTGCCCTCTGGTGGTCAGTACACTCCCACATGGGGGAGCTCTGCTCAGCCACAAGCCAGGCTGATGGCTGCCAGTACAGCGGTGGTGGTGGGAGCCTCTCCTGCCTCCTCAGCAGCGCTAAGGATGTCTGACTGCAGCTTAGGTCTGCTCCCCACTGGCAAGTGGACATCCCCCGAGGGCTGCCGGGCTGCCAGAGGGATGTCTGATTGCCATCTTAGGCCTAATCCCCTGGGAGCAGGCCTAAGCCAGCAGGTGGTCATCCCCCGAGGGGTCCCAGACTTTGAGAGGGCACAGACCGGGCTGAGGGACACCCCCCCCCCAGTGCACAAATTTTTGTGCACCGGGCCTCTAGTGTGTGTGTGTGTGTGTGTGTGTGTGTGTGAGTGTATATAAATATATATGCATATAACCATAATAAATATATATATATATATTCCTGACTTCAGAGAGAAAGGGAGAGGGAGAGAGAGGTGTTTTAATGATGAGAGAGAACCATTGATCGGCTGCCTCCTGCACACCCCTCATTGGGGATCGAGCCTGCAACCTGGGCATATGCCTTGACCGGGAATTGAACAGACGACCTCCTGGTTCCTGGGTCAGTGCCCAACCACTGAGCCACACCCAGCCAGGCTCAAATATTATATTTTAATTAGAGGCCCAATGCATGAAATTCATGCAAGGAGCTCAGCCTGCCAAGCCCTGGCTGCCTCGGCCCTTGCAGCCTAGCTGCCTCGAGGCCCCATGGCCCCACCCACTGGTCATTCTAGAGGGTCATACTGCTGTCTGGTCTAATTAGCATATTAGCTCTTTATTATATAGGATGCTGTTAAAATTAATTCCAAAGAACAATATGCAACTTACATCTATTATATCTTCACTTATTTACTTTTTAATGTATTTATTGCCTGGTACCCCCCCCCCCTGGAAATTATAAGCCCCTGAGAAAGTAGACACTCTGCCTTGTTTATTGCCAAATCCTCAATGCCTAGAACAGTGCCAGGCAAATAGTATTTGCTCAATATTTCTCTCTCTCTCTCTCTCTCTCTCTCTCTCTTTTTTTTTTTTGCTAAGAAAATGTATTCAGTTTTGTAAAACTAAGATTTAAAAGGATTTACTCTGGATGAAAAGAAATCAGGAACTGGGCCAATTTAAAACTATAATAATAATCATGTTGATGAGTATGGTGATATTTATTGAGAAATTACTATATGTCAGGCCACTGTTCTAATGGCTTAAATATATGGACCCATTAAATCCTTACATGACTCACTGAAGGTAGATTAAAAAATGTCCCCCAAGTCAGCCAGTTGGTGAGTGGCATTCCAACTTGGACAGCCTAATTCTAGAACTTGGGCTGTTCACCATAACTGGTGATGTAGCTGCCATGGTTAGTCTGAAAACTAATATCCTTTCACCCAATTACTCCCCTGAGATTGATATACACAGACTAACTGAGCTGGCTTTTTTGTCTAACTCCAGAATGTTCTATCTATACATTTAACTCATTCAACAGTCATTTTTTTCAATTACCCCATTTTGCTGGGGGGAAAAATTCCTGAACAGATAGCAGATTTCCTACACCCAGAGTTATTTCATTTGGATACTATGGTGTTTGTAAGGGCCACATTGTTGGTTAGCTCAAATATGGCTCCACATATGAAATGCTTTCCATTTCAGCCCACCATCTTAAGATGTTCATAAATATAAGCTTTAATGGGGGCAAGGGCTTTGTTTTGTTAATGCTGTAAACAAACAATGTTGGCACATAATAAACCCTCAATAAATATGAATGAATGAATCAAATCATGCTCTGAGAATCCTTGTACATTATGTTAACCCCCCCCAATAACTATGTTAATTATCTGTGTTTGATTTTAGAACAGTAAATTATCATAGATTATAAGAATATGAGTCATTATCTTCTTCAATGATATCCATTCTTAAAACACAATTAAATGGTTCACTCTCACAAATATTTGGAAAGATGCAAAATCAACAAATTTCTCTGAGGCCTTAGCTACCCAAATTGTTTAGGAAAAAGACTGGCCTCTGGGCAACTGAACCCTGACTTTTTAAAAATATATATATATTTTTATTGATTTCAGAGAGGAAGGGAGATAGAAACATCAATGATGAGAGAAAATCATTGATCAGCTGCCTGCTGCACACCCCTTACTGGGGATCGAGCCCACAACCTGGGCATGTGCCCTTGACTGCAGTCGAACCCGGGACCCTCCAGTCCGCAGACCAACACTCTATCCACTGAGCCAAACCAGCTAAGGCTAAATCCTGACTGTTGAGAAGTTGGCCTGCTCCCATTCTCCACCTGAATTGTCAGAAGGGCCTAGGGAGGGAAAGGAATGGATCACTGTGTTTAGGGCGCCCCCTGATGTTCAATGATGTTGAGGCTGCTTGGAAAACGGGCAGGGCTTTCAGTGGATGAGTGTATTTGGTCAAAGGTCAGGAACCACCCACTGTACTTTCATTCCTAGATTGGACCTTAGAGGTGATTAGTTCAAGCTGACATTAGAAATGGGGAAACTGGCGCCCAAAGAAGTCAAATGTCTCATCCATGGTCACTCAGCTGGTTAAATCTCAAACAGGAAAGACGCTGTATTCCCTGACCCACACTTCCCATCAAAGGAAACTAAACTCATAATTCCAGTCTCTTCACCCTTTTTATATTTATTTTTTTGAAAAATTTTAATATATACATCCTAATTGTTGACAGTATTACAAATGTCTCCCTTACTCCCTCTCCGCCCCCAGGTCTTCACCTTATTGTCAATCTCCATGGGCTAGGCCAGTGGTCGGCAAACTGTGGCTCGCGAGCCACATGCAGCTCTTTGGCCCCTTGAGTGTGGCTCTTCACAAAATGCCATGTGCGGGCGCGCACGTAGAGTGCGATTGAAACTTCGTGGCCCATGCACAGAAGTTGGTATTATGGGTTATGCATATAAGTAGGGGTGCATAGGGGTGCATATAATCTGATTGGTGTCTCGAGGGGTTTAGAATATATTCCTAGAAGTGGAATCACTGGGCCAAATGGCAGTTCCAGTTTTAATTTTTTGAGGAAATTCCATACTGTTTTCCATAGTGGCTGCACCAATCTGCATTTCCACCAGCAGTGAACTAGTGTTCCCTTTTCTCCACATCCTCACCAGCACTTGTTTATTGAAGATAGCCATTCTGGCAGGTGTGAGGTGATATCCCATTGTGGTTTAAATTTGCATTACTCTAATGATTAGTGACCTTGAGCATTTTTTCATATGTCTTTTGGCCATTTGTATGTCCTCTTTGGAGAAGTGTCTATTCAGGGCCTCTGCCCATTTTTTAAGTTGGATTGTCTTTCTTTTGTTCTGAGTACTTTATATATTTTGGAGATTAACCCCTTATAAGATGTGTCATTGGCAAATATGTTCTCTCATACAGTGGGTTCCCTTTTCATTTTTAAAAAAATATATTTTATTGATTTTTTTAAGAGAGGGAGAGGGATAGAGTTAGAAACATCAATGAGAGAGAAACATCGATCAGCTGCCTCCTGCACACCCCCTACTGGGGATGTACCCGCAACCCAGGTACATGCCCTTGACCGGAATTGAACCTGGGACCCTTCAGTCCATAGGCCGACACTCTATCCACTGAGCCAAACCGGTTAGGGCTCCCTTTTCATTTTGATGGTGGTTTCTTTTGCTGTGCAGAAGCTTTTAATTTTGATGTAGTCCCATTTGTTTATTTTTTCCTTTGTTTCTCTTGCCCTAGCAGATGTATCAGCAAAATGCTTCGAGAGCTGTCTGAGACTTTACTGCCTATGTTTTCTTCTAGGATATTTATGGTTTCATGGCTTACATTTAAGTCTTTTATCCATTTTGAGTTTATTCTTGTGTATGGTGTAAGTTGGTGGTCTAGTCTCATCTTTTTGCACGTGTCCAGTTTTCCCAACACCATTTGCTGAAGAGACTGTCTATTCCATTGTATGTGCTTGCCTCTTTTGTCAAATAATTGACCGTAGTGGTGTGGTCAATTTCTAGGGTCTCTGTTCTGTTCCACTGATCTGTGTCTGTTCTTGTGCCAGTACCAGGCTGTTTTGATTATAATGACTTTGTAATATAGTTTGGTATCCGGCATTGTGATCCCTATTCCCCTCTCACAGGAAGTCAGACAGCCCCTCATCTTGGAAGTCTTCCTTGGTCTCTTATCACCAGAATCCTGTGATCCCTGACTTTCACATACAGGAAGCATCACTGGACACTTAAACATGGATGTCCCTGCATTGATACTTTGAACTTCTCTGTGTTAACAGCTAATTTCTAGATGGGAGAGAGACCTGAGAAGGTTCTAAATAAAACGGGCTAAATTGAAATTCACTACGAACCAGGCAGCCTGAGGGCAAGAGAAGGAAATGGATCCATCCTGCAAGAGCTAAGAAGAAATTTTAGAAAATTCTCATCTCTTCCTGGTTCTCTGGGACACAGAAATTTTCTTGATCTTCCTAGAGAAGGAGTAAGTTTCGGAATGCCTACTATGTAAGGTAGAGAAGTGAGAGGTGTCCAGGTGGAAATGCCCTCCCACCAGTGAAGTGGGGCTTGCTCTCCGGCACCTCAGTTGAGGCAGTCCCCAGATGGCAGCAGCACAGCCCAGGATGGACGGACGGACGGACTGACTGACTGACTGACTGACTGACTAAATAAATAAATAAATAAATAAATAAATAAATAAATAAAAGACCCAGAGACAGACTGACTGACTGAATGAATGAATGAATGAATGAATAAATAAATAAATAAATAAATAAATAAAAGACCCAGAGACTGACTGACTGACTGAATGAATGAATAAATAAATAAAGACCCAGAGACTGACTGACTGACTGAATAAATAAATAAATAAATAAATAAATAAATAAAAGACCCAGAGACTGACTGACTGAATGAATGAATGAATAAATAAATAAATAAATAAATAAAAGACCCAGAGACTGACTGACTGAATGAATAAATAAATAAATAAATAAAAGACCCAGAGACTGACTGACTGAATGAATGAATGAATAAATAAATAAATAAATAAAAGACCCAGAGACTGACTGACTGAATGAATGAATGAATAAATAAATAAATAAATAAATAAAAGACCCAGAGACTGACTGACTGACTGAATGAATGAATAAATAAAAGACCCAGAGACTGACTGACTGAATAAATAAATAAATAAATAAATAAATAAAAGACCCAGAGACTGACTGACTGAATAAATAAATAAATAAATAAATAAAAGACCCAGAGACTGACTGACTGACTGAATGAATGAATAAATAAAAGACCCAGAGACTGACTGAATGAATGAATTAAATAAATAAAAGACCCAGAGAGCCCTAACCAGTTGAGTGGATAGAGCTTTGGCCTGTGGACTGAAGGGTCCCCATTTAATTCTGTCAAGGACACATGCCCGGTTGTGGGCTGGATCCCCAGTAGGGGGTCGTGGAGCAGGCAGTTGATGAATTATTCTCATCATTGATGTTTCTATCTCCTCGCTCTCTCCATTCCTCTCTGAAATCAATAAAAACATATTAAAAAAAAAAAAAGACCCAGAGAGCCAAGCCAAGGAGCTATGGGCCTAAGAGGTCCTCTTCCCCAGAAGATAAAGGAGTTTCCCTATAATTTCAGGGACTCCAAAGGAGGAATAAGGTCCCAGGTCACCGGCAGTGGAGTGTTTGGGTTGACGACTCGTGCTCTGATGAACCCCCGGGGAGAAGGCTGCACCCCTCCCATCTTCCTTCTCGCCTTGGGTGTAAATGAAGTTAAAAGGGCATGTGACCTGGACGAGACCGCATCCCCCCGGCGCTCACGGAATACCGGGAACAGGTTACCACCCACAGCAGGAGCTGGGAAACTGGACTGCCGAATCCCCTCTGCACCGCATCAACTCCAGAATCGGAAAAGCAGCCTCCGCTCACGTCACTTCCGCGCGCCGAGGGGCGGGGCCGGATGCGGAAGGCACTGCGGGCGCCACTGGGAAGTGTAGTCTTTTAAGCAAGGCGTTAGAGAGGGGTCGGGCACAACGGAGTACTACGCCTATGGCCCCTTACATGTTTTATAAACGTGGTTTGAAGAATAAAAAGTAGGAATCTAGGTGCCACACTGGTTATTCTCCAGGGACCGGAGTAAGTTATCCGCAGTGCTCCCTCGGAGGCCAATGGGAGCGCGGGCCAGCTGCGCGCTCCGGCCGCGCCGAGCATCCTGGGGGGTGGGGCGTGGTCCCGGCGCCGTGGCG